TATATATTTATTGTATAACGATTTTGTAAGAACACGATGCTTGTTTTGGGACGAAATGAGTATCAGATTTAATAACCTATACTTTTTGGTCAACGAGATTAAATATTATTAAGTTGCACAAAACAAAAGGGAATATAAGATTTAGCAAAATGACAAATTTTGATTGATTATAACTTTGAATTCAGTTGGTATGTTCATAATTCATCTGTTGAAACTCGTTCAGACATCGCATTCAGAGTGTGTATTACATGACGTTAAATATTTTTAGAAATCAAATAAATTATTATAAAAAAAATTGTGGTTAAAAATTATTAATGATGTTTAATTTGAATTTAAGTTTAATTTTCTATATGAAATAATATCATTTTTTCTTTTCTGTTTGTTGGGACTAATTTTATTTTTATTGACAATAGTTTCACTTACAATTCAATTAACAAAAAACAATTGAATTGGTCATTATATCCAATTTTTTATGGGGCAATTACAAAAATACCACTTTTTGTGTGCACATTTGCAAGAATGCCACTTAGAGGTGTCCATTTACAAAAATGTCACTAATTATAGATTTATAAAGCCTATATCTTAAAATTCTAAACCCTAAAAAATGTTTTGACACCTAAAACCCCCTAAACACTCAAAACTAAACCCTAATAGAACATAATTAACCCAAACATAAATAATATAAAGAAAAAATAATTTTGAAAAAGTGGCATTTTTGTAAAGATTTCAAAAATATGGTATTTTTGTAAAGTGGCACTTGAAAAGTGACATTTTCTGAAATTTCTCATTTTTTATTGTAATAACCAAGTAAAATTTTGTTGTTTCTAATAGTGTTTCCATTTCTATTGTTGTTGTAGAGTGGACTTTGTTATTAACACATTGCAACAAACTACTATTACTGTGTGTAAATTCGTTGAAAGCCTGAAAATTTGACAAAACTAAACACGACATATTGTGATCAATTATGTTCAATATCTATTTGGTAAAATCTATGTGAATTATTCTATTTTTGAATAACAATATCTAAAATGAAAATATCTACTATGGATAATATTGCATG